CCCTAGTGGTCTGCAGTGCAAACGAAGCCCTTCAGGAAAGTGACATTAACATCAGACTTAGAGGCTTCCCTAAAGCAGGACCAAGAGTTGAATGTAAACCCCAAAACATTTGCAATGGGAACTGCTGAATCCCTGTCTGTTGCCATGAGTCTCTGTTTCTCCTCCCAGGATGATGCAGAGTATTTGAAGGACAAAGGACTAATCACTTTAGACTTTTTGGTGATGTTCTGTCTCCTTTGCCAAAAATCTCAAGCCATGTTGTTTGAAGACCTCAGGAGCTGCACAACTGAAGATTTTTTCCTATGTTTCCATGGTGGAATCTGTGAGACCCCGAGCTTCCTGAGCAGTCTGGTAGATAGATATTATCCAAATATATGAGGCATATTTATCTCAGTTTTTAGTGCATTACTATCCCTTGTTTTAATTTGGCCATGCGTGAGGGAAAGAAGGACTGAAGTATCTGGTTTGCTACCCACGTTCTGAAATTTCAAGTGGTCAGCAGAAGGTGTTTCAGAAGAGGTAACATGTTCATCCTCTACTATGCACAGTAAAAAGGTAAGTCTCCAGAGCAGTTGCCTAAAGGTGTGCTGTGGTATAAACTCTCACAGTGCATTCTTTTTACAGCATAAACTCCTGAGTCCTACAAGCTAGTTCAGAGCAACCTAAGTTTTGGCCTTTTTGGATTGAATCATCTTCTTAGAAACTTTTTCCTGTTCTGAGTGGAGAGAAGTCTTTGTGAACGTCACCCTGGGAGACATACAGCAAAAATTTGTGCAGGCTAATCAAGAGTGAGAAAGACTGACCATCGTGAATTCTAACTTGATCTCTTTTCTCCCCCTACTGCTCTGAGAAGGAATAAGCAGAAGCTTATTTGCTTTATTTTTTTTTAGCAGATTTGCTAACCTTCCTGCTATGTACAGGTTTGCAATTCCAGCCACCAGAGGGATCCAATTTGTTTTGCAGACATGTGTAGTCTAGATGGCACAGCCTTTTCTTTTCTGGTTTATTTTTGCCTTAGAAAGGCAATAGCAAAACAATTGAGGAAAAACTCCATACAGAGCTAATTCTGGATGAATGAGTGCATGCTTCTCAACCTCCTACACAGTGGTAACAAGCTGTCCCAATTTCTGCTGTTGTGGCATGTAAGACACAAAGACAGTTCCTACAGGTCTGGTGTTTATTCCACTGAACCCAGTGGAGTAAGCCATCAGTTACCCCAGAAGTCATATATATTAATGGCCTCTGAGTCCACAGTGAGTTTTACATTTGAAGTACAAAACCTCAGGACCAGACTGTCCCTTCAGAAGATGCCTGCGTTTAGCCTGGAGGTGTTTCTGGGAATCTGCAGCATCTCCTTGGTGAGGCTGGGAAAGTCTGGCTGTATTCTGTTTGTGTGGCGAGGCTTTGGTAGCAGGAGGGGGAAGGGAGGGGTTACAGGGGTGCCTTCTGTGAGAAGCTAGTAGAAGCTTCACCCATGCCCAGCAGATCCAAAGCCAGTGGCTCCAGGATGGACCCACCAAGGCCGAGCCAACCAGTGGTGGCATTAACACAGTGGTGGCTGTGAACGCATGGGAAGCCCGTGGTGGAGCAGGCTCCTGGCAGGGACCTGTGGATCTGTGTAGAGAGGAGCCCATACCTGGAGCAGGTTTCCTGGTAGGACCTGTGCAGGAGCAGTCTGTTCCTGAGGGACTGCACCCCGTGGAAAGGGACTAACACTTGAGCAGTTTGTGGAGAACTGTAGCCCATAGGAAAGACTCACGTTGGAGAACTTCATGGACAGGTGTCTCCTGTGGGAGGGACCCCATGCTGAAGCAGAGGAAGGACTCCTTTCCCTGAGCAGCGGCAGAAATTATTTGTGTTGTACTGACCATAACCCCTACTACCCATCTCCCTGAGCTGATGGGTGGGAGGAGGTAGAGCCCAGGAAAGAAGGTGGGGTGGGAGGAAGATATTTTTGCTTTATTTCTCATTATCTTGCTCTGATTTTAATTAGTAACAAATTCAGTTAATTTGAGTCTGTTTTGTCTCTGATGGTATTCTGTGAGTGATCTCTCCTGGTACTTGTCTCAACTCATAATTCTTTTGTTATATTTTCTCTCCCCTGTCCATTTGCAGAGAACAGTGGTACAACAGCTTTGGTGGCTGCCTGGCATCCAGCCAGGATCAACCCACTATAATGGGGAAAGAAGTTACCCTGGAGGTCAGCCTTGGATGTAGTCCTCCTCCCTCTCCCTGAGGAAAATTAGGACAGGGGAACAGACAAATGGGAGCAGACATTGCTTTTATTCTTCCTGCTACACTTTCCTGGCCTCTTTATATCCAGCCTCCACTTTCCACCAGCTCCCACTTTTCACTGCAAATACTTACTCACATTTCTACACTGTATTTTTACTGTATTAGAGGCCTGAACCTCCTCCTTGTCCTTCTTGGGGGACGGCTGCCTGTGTTCAAGGTCAGTTTTGGCTCAGTGCAATGACAGCAGGATCAGGCTGCAGGAAAACAGCTAAGGTGAGCATGAGGATCTAAGAGAAGTCTCATCTTGGGCCTCCTCTGCCACACCAGAGCTGCTTCTGAGGTTCTGAGTCCCTTTCTGGG